GGTGGGTGGGGCGAAGGAGGTGAGGGATAGGAGTGCAGGGGGTGGGGTGTGTGGGTGTGGAGCAGCTCTGTGAATCCGCAAGGCAGGTCTGGTGGATTTGGGAAGACGGTGGAGGCGGTGAACCAGTGGAGGACCCAGCACGGATAGAAGTCTGGAGCTGTATCAGAAGGACGGCGACAGCCCAGGCCGGCGCAGCAGAGGGCTGAGGAGTTTAGATTCAGTGAGGCAGGCAAGAGGGAGCCATGGCAGGTTCTTGTTTTTTTCTAATTGTGGTAAATTGCATTAACATAAAGTTTACCATTTAAACCATTTTTAGTGGAATAACACAGTACTTGCCCTTTTTTTGTCTGGCTTATTTCACTTTACATGTTTTCAAGGTTTATCCATGTTGTAGCATGTATCAGAACTTCATTCTTTTCAAGGCTGAATAATCCACTGTCTGGATGGACCGTATTGTGTTTAATCATTCCTCTGTCGATGGACACGGGTTGCTCGCACATTTAAGCCCTTGTGAATCACGCTGCTATAAACAGGGTGTACAAATATCAGTTCCAGTCCCCACTTTCAACTCCTTTGAGTATAAACCTAGGAGTGGAATTGCTGGGTTATATGGTGACTCTCAGCTTAATTTTTTGAAGACCTGCCAAACTGTTTTCTGCAGTGACTACTTCATTTTCCATTCCCACCAACATTGCACAAGAGTACCAGTTTCTTCATATTCTCACCAACACTCATTATTTTGTTTTTATTTTTTAAATAGCTATCCTAGTAGATGTGAAGTAGTGTCTCATTGTGGTTTTGACTTGCATTTCCCTAACAACTAATAATGTTACTCATCTTTTAATGAGCTTATTGGCCATTTTACATGCCTTCTTTGGTGAAATGTCTATTCAGTTTTGGATTGGGTTGTTTTTTTGTTGTTGATTTGTAGGAGTTGTTCATGGAATGTTCTGGATATCAGTCGCTTGTCAGATGCGTGATTTAAGAATATTTTTTCCCATTTTGTAGGTTGTCTTTTTGCTTTCTTTTTTTAAATTTAAAAACATTTATTGATTTTTAGAGAGAGGAAAAAAGGGAGGGAGAGAAAAACATCAATCAGTTGCTTCCCTCACCAGGGATGGAACAGGCAGCCTGGGTATGTGCCCTGACCGGGAAGGGAACCCACCTCCTTCTGGTGTATGGGGTGACACTCCAACCAACGGAGCCACATTGGCCAGGACTTTTTGCTTTCTTACTAAATGTCTTTTGATGCACAAAAGTTCTTAATTTGAATGAAGTCCAATTTATCTATTTTGTCTTTTGTTGCCTGTGCTTTTGAGATCATATGCATGGAATTGTTGCCAAATTCCATGTCATGAAGATTTCCCCCAATGTTTTCTTCTAAAAACTTTATAATTTTAGCTCTTAAGATTAGGTCTTTAATACTATGGTAGGTTCCTGTGCAAGGAAGGATCAGGGAAGACTTGCCAAGCAGTATCTTGAGACCCCAGAGCACAACTCCTGTGGGAAACAGACGGGGGGTTTAGCCAGCCACAGGCACATTGTGAGTCAGATCTGGATTCCAGGCCCTGTTAATAGGAATAGCTTGTGGAGATCCAAGGAGGTGATGTCAGCACAAATTGGCCTCTAGAGAGAGACCTGGGTGTGTGGGTGGAGATGTTGGCAGCCCATGTAGCCACTGACAGGATGAGAGTTGAGTTGGGGAAGGAGAGAGTTGAGTTGGGGAAAGAGACAGAGCAGGAGTCATCAGAGACAGAGGAGGCAAGCTGGGGATGTGGCATAAGGACCTTAGAGAGAGAGCTGTGAGTCTCAAGCAGGGGAGAGGGATCATCAGTGTCCCCTGCTTATGGGACTTAGTGACAAGGAGAACAAAGGGAATGAACGGGGTAAGGAGGGTCCTAGTCATCTGCCTGGCACTCAGCCTGTCAGTGGAGTAGGGTCTCAGCAAACACAGACTTTGAGACTGGATGAGAGGATGGGAGAGGCTAGGCAGCCCTTTTTTTCCTGTTCAGCTATGATTTTTACTGCATAGTGTGCCTTTTCCTCTTGGCTCTTTTTTCCCCTTTCATTTAAAAAAATTAAGGTATAATTTACATACAGTAAAGTTCATCCATTTTAGTGCACAATTCTATGATATTTGACAAATACAGCCGTAGAACCACCATTTAAATCAACATACAGAATAGTTTCCCTTCCCCAGCCTCTGGCAACCACTATCTGCTCTCTGCCACTATGTGTTGTCTCTTCCATGGAATTAGACACTATGCAGCCTTTTGAGTGTGGCTTCTTTCACTCTGCAGAATGCACTGGAGATTCAGCCATGACGTTGCTGTGCATCAGTATTTCATTCCTTTTTATTGTTGAGGAGTGTTGTGCGGTATGACTGTACCACCTTTCACCCACTCATCTCTTGAGGCACATTGCAGTTCTTCTCAATTTTTGGCAGTTTTGAATAGAGCTGCTATAAGCTTGCACAGGCTTTTGTATGAAGGTAAGTTTTCATTTCTCTTGAATCAATACTTAGAAGTCCTGACTCTCTCTCTCTTCTTCATTTTTTAAACAGCTTTGGGATATAGTTCACACACCATGCAATTCATCCATTTAAAGTGTACAATTTATAGCCCGGCCGGCATGGCTCAGTGGTTGAGCTTCGGCCTAGGATCCAGGTGATCGGGGTTCAATTCCCGGTCAGGGCACATGCCGGGGTTGCGGGCTCAATCCCCAGCTGGGGGTGTGCAGGAGGCAGACGATCAATGACTCTCTCATCATTGATGAGTCTATCTCTCTCTCTCCCTCTCCCTTCCTCTCTCTGAAATCAATAAAGATATATTAAAGAAAAAAGTGTACAATTTACAGAGTTGTTCAACCATCACCATTATCTAATTTTAGAACATTTTCATCTGCCTGAAAAGAAACCCTGTGCCCATTAGCAATCACTCCCTATTCCCCCACCTCCTACACCTTTGCTTTTTGTCTCTATAGTTCTGCCTATTCTGGGTATTTCCCATAAATGGAATCATATATTATGTGGTCTTTTGTGACTGGCTTCTTTCACTTAGCATCATGTTTTTGATATTCATTCACATATTGTAGTGTGAATCAGTATTTTATTTCTTTTTGTGGTTGAATAATATTCCATTGTATGGATGGACCACATTTTGTTTACCTGTCCATCTATTGATGGGCACTGGATTGTTTCCACCTTTGGCTATTGTGAATTGTGTTGCTGTGAACATTCCTGTACAGGTATTTGTTTTAATACATGTTTTCAGTTCTTTTTGGTATATATCAATGAATGGAATTTCCAATTCATATGGAATATGGAAACTCTATGTTTAACATTTTGAAGAACTGCCAAACTGTTTTCATGGCGACTATACCATTCTACATTCCCATCAGCAGTGTGCGAGGGTTCTGATTTCCCCACATCCTCTCCAACACTTATAATTATCTGACTTTTTGATCCAGCCATCCTAGTGTATGTGAAATGATGTCTCATTGTGGTTTTGATTTTTATTTTCCTGATGGTAGTGATGCTGAGCACCTTTTCACATTGGCTGTTTGCATATTTTCTTTGGAGAAATGTCTGTTCAGATCCTTTGCCCATTTTTTAATTGGTATGTCTGGTTAGAATGAAGATTCTGGCTTCCTTTTTAGCCACCCTGGCTCTGATCTCACCTAATTCCCACTCCTGTAGCTTCCCCTGTGCCCCAGGTCCATCCCTAAATGCTCCCCATCACCCAGGAGACTAGCAGTCCATCTCAATCTGCAGATCCTCACACTCCCCTAACACTTGCAGAAGTAAGAAGGACCCTTCCCCAACACAGGTTGGCTGGTCCCGCTTTAATAGAAAAATGACTGGTAGCTGCCGTGGGGAGAAAAATTCTCTCAACATTATAAAACCTTTCAAATATACAGAAAAATGGAAAGAATTGTACCCTGGCCTGCCCACACTTACATTCTACAATTAACATGTTGCTATATTCACTCTATCACCTAACTATCCAACCCTGCCTCCTTCCCTCTCTCCCTCCCTCCATCAGTCCATGTTATTTTTTTTTTGGAGGCATCATCAGAACCCATCACCTCTAAACACTTAAGCGTGCACATAACCTAGAGTTTAGTATTTTATGTTTCTTGCTTATTGGGGAGGGGCCAAACTTACATACAAGAAATGGACATGTCTTATGTATACATTACCTGAATTTTGAGACATGCAGACACCGGTGTAACAACCTAGATCAAGATATATAGAATATTACCATTACCCCAGGAAGTAGAGGGTAGTTTTAAGTTATCTGCCTTACTAGATGTATATTTAGATATACAGGTACCTTTAATCACCTGCCCTCAAACAGGATCATATAAATGTCCTATTTTTTTACTCTACGAATAGATGTGGACTTGTTTCCATTCCAACCCTCAATCACACATCTCATTCCCACCCCCTGTTGATAGACTTTCAGGTTAGCTTATGCTTTCTAGACACAAGTTGTTCATGGTGGGGGCCAGGCAGGGCAAGGAAGGGATTTTCAGGATGATGGGGGAGAATTTCTAAAGCTGAGGGGAAACAGTCCATGGAGAGGAAGGAGGGAAGGCTGTGGAGCAAGTCCCTCTGATGAGCAAAGCTTGTTCCAGCCTCAGGGCTTTTGCACTTGCAGGGGCCCTTGCCTGGTGTGCTCTCCCCTGGCTTTTTGAATGGCCATCTGCACCACCCTTCAGATCTGAGCTCAAATGCCATCTTCTCAGAGAAGCTGACCATCCCAGCTAAAGACGCGTTTCTTTCTCTCCCCATTCTCTGCTTATTTCCTTTGCAGCACTTACCTCAATCTGTTATGAATAGTTTTGGCTCTTTGTTCATCACACTCCCTTCTTCCTCCTGGAGTGTTAGCTTCAAGAGGGAGGGGACAATGCTTGTACCCCCAACACCGGGGCTAAAATACAGTAAGAACTCAACATGTGCCTGTGCAAGGAATGCACAGTGCTAGGTGCCGAGGCGCGGTGACCAGAGCGGGGGCCCGTGCGCTCCGTGCAAGATGCCTGGAAGGCCAGGGGTGGGTTGGGGGTCCCGGGTCGGAGCCCAGCAGGCTGGTGCCCTACTCCAAATCCTATTGGCTTTCCTGTTCCTCTTACCCCGCAGGGGTCCTTGAGGCGCAGGGAGGCGGCAGGGACGCGGCCCGCACCCGTCTTGCTCACCAGCTCACGTGCGAGGTGGGCCAGGTCCGCGCGCCCTTCCCGCTGCGCCAGGGCTGTGCTGGGGCGGGAGGTGCTCTCACGCGGGCGACACCCGCGCGTCCCCGCTTCCCCATCGAGCGCAGCGCACCCTCCGACCTCTGCTCGCACCACAGGCTGGGTGCCTGCTGCTGTGCAAACAAACGGTGGGTGCGATGCGCGCTCCACGGGTGGAAGCTGCGGGGAGAACGCGGGAGCTTGGCTGGGGCGGGGCTTGCGAGAGTCCGGA